AAAAAAAAAAAAAAAGTACTCCAAATTAAAAAAAAATGCAAATGAAACATTCTATGTTAAGAGGGGAATGTATTGTCCCTTGACATAAGACCTCTTTCGGTCAATCCAATTTTATTTATAAAGCCTGAAATCTATGGAATTCTCTCCCAACAGAAATAATCACATGTACAAATTATAGGATGTTTTCACGCCTGACTAAGAGGTGTTTTTTGTCAAATCAAATTGGGGGAGAGGTTTTTGATTTGTCAGTTTAGTTTATATGCGAGTATGCCTGAATGTTTTAAACTGACTTTTTAATTAATTTGATATTATTATTTCAATTTTTACCTGTACAGGGACTGCAGCTGGAAAAAAACAATCCTGCTACAACCGGGCACAATGCATCTTTCCTCTTTGAGGTTAATGTAATCTTTGTGCATTGTCCCTGTTAAATAAATAAATTCATTCATTTATGTCTTTGGACTTGTGGGGGAAATGTCTGAAGGGAAAGGAGTTTTCACGTTTTACTGGAAACGGCTCTTCATATTTGGTGATGTACTATATCAATGCGTTCAGGCAAAAGATCCGAATCAAACTCGATTCATTTATTCGTCTCTGAGTTGACTAGAATCAATAGTTTTAATCACGGTGCACTTTCAGATTTAAGCCTCAGCTGGAAGTTTTCATTCACTTACAGCTATTACATTTTCACAAACCCATAACAGGGGCTCATTAAGTGAACATCCACTGTTGTTTACCACAGAAGATCTCAACATTTTGATATGATGTCAAAGAAAAAAAAAGGAGATCTGATGCATTACAAAAACTGATTATTTAATTTAATCCTGATCTTGAGGTATTTTAAACAGGATTTACAACATATTCGGTAATTCCTGCAAGTTCCTGCTATTTGAACTCATCCAGCTCATGAACGCTGTTCCCCCAGGGGCCATGGTCAGGTGGCAGCCGGCCTTTATTTTCCATCAATCTCCCTCCTTTTTTTTTTTTTGTTTCACTATTTGTTCTGCTGCCTGTGGAAGGGCTCTTTTGTTGTCTGTTGCATAGGCTCTGATTACAGGCGGCACCTCAACAGCACCAGCACAAATGACCATAGAAATACGCCCCCTTCCACTGCTATTGTGTCCCACCCCAGTCGGGGGGCTCCTGGGGCATGAGGAATGCCGCGATCCGATCGGGACACTCGCTCTGAAACCTCACTCCTGCGATGACCTCACAGGGATCAGACTCGCGCCAGAGTCTGAAGGTCTCTTTCTGAACGTCCTGTCAGAGAGCTGTGTGTGTTTTTGACCACAGAGGGAACATTTTAGGACATGTGGAAGTAATCGTGGCGTTTGGAGTTTACCAGATTGAGGAAGTGTGGAGTTAAAAAAGGGACAAAGAGGAGCTGTGGATGTTTGGTGTGAAGATGAAGGATGGATTTGGCCGCTCAGTGTAAGGGATCTTGTTTATCAGCTATTTCTGATTTGAAGTTACGTGAGTTGATCGTTTTAGAAGCGGGAAAGAAGCCAACGTGAGGGAAAGATGATATCTGTGTGTGTGTCTCCAAGAGAGAGAGAGAAAGTTTACTTACAAACCCGAACTCATGAGTTTAATGGAAACGTTTTGAAGATTTATAAAGATATGTTGTCTTTAAAAGTTTGTTTGAGTATTTATAATACATATGGTACTGTAATAAAGTCATTTGCCCATCTAGCTGGTGACCGACCACTTGGTAAAGTGTTTTAGCTGACTTGTTAACTTCAGTGTTCAGGGTGCTAGTTAATTTCAATGGTGTAAGAGGCAGCACAGATTTGGGTCTCTATAGGATATTTCACAATACAACTGTGTAAATATGAGTGCACTGTAAAAAATGCAGTGTTCCACACAGTTCTGTCAAGCTGTCCCAACACAAATCAAGTAAGTTAAGGTAATTGTTTACAAATTTAAGTGAATTGAACATAAAAGAATGAAGTTGTCCCCCCAAAAAACGTAAGAATTGTTTTGTTTCAACTCATTTTAAATAGAAAGTGGTTTTAACAAGCAGCAAAAATCGTTTTTTGAATGTGCGAGCATGTGTGTGTGTGTGTACGTGTGTGTGTTTGAAAGAGAGAAAGTTTTAGGGGTGTGGGTGATTTCGGGGGGAGGTGGTTGTCAGGGTGTTTGCGAGGAAGTGATGGGGGGGGGGGGGGTTGCTGTCAGAATGTTTCTTTTTTCTTACACTGTCTGTAAAAAATGCTCCACATAAGTTCTTTATATCCAAACTTTATGTCCAAACAAAAGTAAATCAATTTTGAAATTAAAGTGGATTGTACATAAAACAATTAAGTTGTCCCCCAAAAAACTCAAGAATTTAGTTGATTCAGCTCATTTTAAACGAGTAGTTTGAACAAGCTTGTGTGCTTTTGAGTTTAGCCTGCATTCATGGTGTAGATAAAATCTCCCAACTATGAGTTTATGTGAGCAGATTACATGAAAATCTTTTGTGAATTATTGTGAAACCAGAAGCTGATTCTGGGCCACTCAGAGTTTCTGCAGGTTTCATCAAGTCAATACTTTTAAAGACCTTTGTAAAAATCATTATGAAGGAAATTGTAGACTTATACAGGGCTAAACACTTTGGATTTTTTTTTTTTCGAATAGCCTGGTTGGACCAATGGAAAAGACACATATTTTGCCACATATTTAAAAGTACATGAACATTTAAACAAATGTTATTGTAAGTCAGTTAAATCATATTGGTAAATAGAGTTAATAAATAAAGCGTGTTAAAAGTTTTGTTGAGATGGATTGTTGGTGATTATATTGGTGTCAGCCTGATTGGGTAACTTTACATGGACATAGCAAAATTAAGAGCTATCTAAAATAATTTAGCCCAATTTAATAATTAAACCTACAGCACAATGTTTCAGTAAATTTATTTAATTTTAATATATTTATAATAATTATTAGCCCCCTTCTGAATTTTTTTCTTTTTTAATTTTTTTTTCCCAAATGATGTTTAACAGAGCAAGGAATTTTTCACAGTACTGTATGTCTGATAATATTTTTTTTTCTGGAGAAAGTCTTATATGTTTTATTTTGACTAGAATAAATGCAGTTTTTTTTTTAAAACCTAATTAAACTAGTTAAACCTTTAAATGTCATTTTAAGCTGTATAGAAGTGTCTTGAAAAATATCTAGTAAAATATTCTCTACTGTCATCATGGCAAAGATGAAATAAATCAGTTATTAGAAATGAGTTACTAAAACTATTGTTTAGAAATGTGCTGAAGAAATCTTGAGAAATCTGTTTAAATCTCTCCGTTAAACAGAAATTGAGGAATAAATAAACAGGGGGTTAAATAATCAGTAATCCTGAATTCAAATATAAACACACACATTAGTCATAATTTTTTCTTTATGTGATCATAGATGAAGCATATGCAGTAGTGGTCAGTTGTATTGTCCAAACGTTTGGATGAAATTTGTTTTATTGACCTTAAAAGTTCAATTAAAATAGATCATGAGAAGTACATTATATTTGAATAAATGTTGATAGGTAATAAGTTCAGTATATATATATATATATATATATATATATATATATATATATATATATATATATATAAATATACAACAATAATTCAACATGC